ATAAATAGAAATAAACAGCCACCCACGTAAACAGGTAAAGCACACAAACACTCAAAACACTCCAAAAAACAATCCCAAACAATCGCTGCAGCTCAACACCACTCTCTCGCAGCAATCGCAGCAATCCCAGCAATCCTCGCAGCAATCCCAGCAATCCCTGCGCCTCTATCGAGGTGGACCTGCTGCATGGAAGATCCATGGTGAGTCATTCCTGAGAGACACCCACCATCGTCAGCATGGTAACCAGATCAGATGTTGCAGCATGCTCTGCCAAGATCTCGTCCAGGGTCTCCACGTACCAGGAGCCAGTCTGCGGGTTCCTCCATGAGACATACCCTGCAGTGGCAGCAATATCAAGTACATTTTGAGAGACATTTACACTGCGGGTTACCAGGGCGAGTCAGTTCTATGGGCAACATAGGTACTGACTTGCCAACGGATTTCACTTTGCCTTGAACAGGGAGTGCTGGCAGTGATGTTTGCCTAGAGAGGCACATAGGCTATGACTGGCACTGCGTTTTCCTATGTTGCTGACCATCACCATATACAAATATACTGATATCTTTTATCTTTAAACAAGTACTAGCAACCCAAGATCAGGATTTCAGCATTTCAGAAAACACCTCCGTGCTGGATACTACTTAACCCACTGACAGGGTTAGTGATATGACTCCTTAGACACTCATACCGGGGTAAGTAGAGTATGACACCAGGATGTCACTGGGTACTGGCAGTGAATTGCAGGCATCTGGCTCGTCTGACACGTTGAGGGAGTTGCTGCCAGATGTTGTGGGAATGACATCTGTTTCCTCATCCGCCCCAGCGAGGGATGGGCTGGCCTCTTCAGGGGACACATTACTTCCTTTGTCCATTGCATCTGGAGGAGCACATGAGCAGATGTTGTATGTATAGTGCTCCATCATGGCTAATACTCTCACTTTAGATGCCTGTTATACTGTACAACAATATGTTGCAACTCATTATACAACAGTTAGTTGCGACCAAGAAATCTGATTGGACAACATGTGTTCTATGAGTGCTGCTATCAGAGCATAACTGCATTTTCCATCAGATGTATCACTCCAGCTTACAGGTGTATTTTAAAAATGTTATTTAAACTTAACCCCCTGGAGTCAATCCCCTTGCAGGATCAAACATATATCTCACCAAACCGTCTAAAACACTCCGTGAGTTTATGTCAAAGAAACATTTAAAGAAACCCCCCCAGAAAACAGTTTTGAAATATATATACATAGGAAGAAACCGTTTGAGCTTTGTAAACACAACTAGGGAGCAGTGGCCTGTACTATGAAGCGGGGTTACTGGCTTATCAGGGTAACTTGTCAGATTTAAGGTAGTCTGGGTAAAATGTAAGTGAACGAATATGAAGTCCATTTAAACTGTGGTACCTTAAATCTGACAAGTTACAATATAAGCCCGATAAGCCAGTAACCCCGCTTCATAGTACAGGCCACAGATCGCCCACCAATTTGCAAATAACCCTATTCATATCCTTCTGAGACCCAAGGAAAAAAAGTGTCCTTCAATTTTAGGTTATTTGTGATTTTCTATGTCTTTGGAGGAAATAAGACATCTTACAATTTAAATTTTATTTTTATTTTTAATTTCACAGCATGTCCTCTTTAGTGTACAATAGGAATGAATATGTTTCCTTACATCAGTGAAACGATAGATGCAAAAACAAAAAGTCCACTACAATGGACATAAATGAATGGGTGGGATCTCAGGAGGATATGATAATGATATGGTAATCCGCCAATTGTTATTGGGTCAATAGAACACATGAAAACTCCAATAAACAAGAGCACGTCTGCGTTTTGTTTACACTGACTGAGGAGCTGTAACCTTTTCTTAAGTGATATGAGAGAGTTTTCCCTGAGGAAATACTATAAAAACACATCTCTTCAATTCATGGATAACGGCAAATTCAAACAAGCAGTAACAGTGTAAATGACAAATGTCACTTGTTTTCTAATTTTGATCACTCCTGCAAAAACATGTCTTTATAATTATATGCAAACTGTTGGTAACTAGGCTGTTCTTTTAGCTTTTTTCACTGCCTTTATGAGACTTCTTTTGCAAGTATAAGGCTACAAAGCAATCGTTTACGTATTATGTTTCTCAAAATACGTCACAAAATAGCTCAAAATAGAATGGATTGTATTTGCTGAAAATAAGACATTTTACATAAAATATTAAATTTTGCACTAAAAACACTTGTACAATTCACATAAATGATGCAACTTATGTGTTCTCTGTCTGTTCAAAAACCAAAGATGTGAAGTTGCGACGCAAAATTAAAAACTAAAAGCAGAGTGGAGGGCATATTTCCCAAAAGCGTCGTTGCTCATTATGTTAATGACTTATACATTTGGAACTATGCAACTGAATGGTTTCACCTAAGTTGCAAATGGGAGCCTTTGGGAGATGTGCCCCAGTACAGCAGTAAAATATGAATATATTTTGCAAATTATTATATCATGCAAAGTAGTTAGGAGCGAATGTTTGTGTTGCTGGTTAAAAGTCAACAGTTGGGTGGTGGGAATGATTTTTTTTTGTTGCAGAAGCCTATGAATGTTTAAGTAAATAATAAAGCAAAGTATTATCTGTTGTGGCTTATTAGTGCTAACTTAAGCATGATATCGATGAACTGTTGTATAAAAGCAATAACATACTCAAAGTCATGCGGGTGTACTACAATATATCACACCTGTGATTATCTTTGGCCTGTATGCCTAATTAATTATTCATTGCCATTTCCCCCCACTATAACAGCTAATCCAAGAAGGCTAGCATTTCAAAGACACATGATGCCTGGTTAGTATGATGCTTTCCTGTAGGAAATACACAATAGGACTGCAAGTAACAGATGTTAGAGAAAAATGAACTATAACTAAAAATAAACTTATATACATACTGAATGTTTGGAATATATAAATGCTGAGTAACTGCACATAATGTATAATGGGGAAAATTATTGAGGCAATATTTAAAATACCAGGAGCTAAAATGGCAGAGAGATGGCAGGAAAAATGTGTGCAAAACGATTCCAGTTACTTCTAACAGTGAAGAATGAAAGGAAAACTAAATTAAAGCTTAAATAATAGCTTAACAGTAAACAGTGGTTCAAATTTTGCCAGGTGGCCCCCAAGGGTGGGTTTTGGGGCCCCTGTCAAGCACTGTCCCCCCTAAATCTGCCAGGGTATCTATGAGCCTCCGAAACCCTTGGCTGCCATTCAATGAGATTCAATGAGGTAAGAGCAGCTTGGTCCAAAGTTCAATTAAATTCCAACACCTCTTTTACAATACAGCCTTACAACACAGAAGTACATGGTGCCAATTGATCTGGCTCAGCTTACCTCCAGTGCAGGCCTGGATGAAGAAGAGCTTGGGCTTGCCCTGGAGTGAGGGACAGCAATCCCCATTGAGGAACCTTGTAATGTCCTCAACGGTAACCGATGGCCCGTCCACTCCATGAACAGCACCGTAGAGGTGGCGGCCTGACTGAAGACAAAAGCACACACAGATCTCAGAAGGTGTGTAAGGGAGATTTCACATGATAAGCATCAAGAGGTGCACTAGGTAGGTCTATTATAGTCTACAGAGAGCAGAGCATTGACTCGCAGCCTTGCGTCATGCCAGATATTCTGTTTTGGTGTTGTGCTCAAATTTGAACCAAATTCAACTTTGACCTTTCTGCTGCTTGACCCCTCCGATTGGCAGCCAATGAGAGAATAGCTCTATGTTATGAGAGCCAAAGTGACCAGTAATACTAAAATACCACTAAAGCTAAAAATACCTGTTTTTAAAAATACTTAAGTATCAAATATAAAAATTACTACATATTCATATCTATTAATATTACCTATTCTTTTACCTACCAACAGATTATTTTAAATTCACTCAAGACAGGTTTGAATATAACATTTTAAGTTACTGTGCATCACAATAAGGAAAACTGAGTTGCAAGTGGATAAGTGGATGTTTTCATTTCAGAAAAAGCGGTGGAGCTTGCCACGCAGGTAGCGGAATAATATTACATCGTTTTATATTTTGTGGAAAAGACTGGTCTATGGGCCAGACTTAATAATGAAATATTACTGTATCACCATGTCAGTACTTTTAAACCTATTATAAGTGGGGAATGAACCAATGGCTGATTTTCCACTGTGATCATGCCCATTATTTCAATACTTTTGTCTTTAGTTCTGGTGCTAACTTTGAATATGGATGAAATTCAGGGTTTGGAAAATTACTCAGTTTTAATATTTAAGTAAAATTACAGATACCAGACCAGAATATTACTCAAGTAAAAGTAATTCATTAAAATACTACCCAAGTAAGAAAATACTCGGGGCCTCAATTTATTGAAATTTGTGCGTAAATTTCATCATGAAAAGATGTGTGCACACAAAACGTTATATGCATATCCTAAAAAAAATGGATTTATCAATCCTTATGAAAGAAATATATGTATTTCCCCTTGGAAATGTCAGAATGTCAGAACTTCTGAAATCCTGCACTCAAATAACCATAAATGACCTCTTATAATAGACCTCTTATCAGTAGCAAATGAGCCAAACCCTCATCCCCCACTATGGAAGATGCCTGATCTTCCAATGCTGCCATCACCATTTTTTCAGTGTAGTAGCTCATGTGCTGCTAACTTTGGTTATTGATAAAGTTTAAATATTGGACGGGAATTTTGGAATGCTAATAAAAGAAATATATTGTTCAAGCACTGTAAAGGAAAATCGCAATCATGTATAAAAACAGAGCTTTGATGCTCAGCACTTATGTGAAAGGCACCTCAGAAGGTTAAAAGACAATCAAGGAAAGCTAATATTTGGGGAAGACTTACAGTGCAGCACTTTGACTCTTAGGCAGTCAAAGAAAATGATTAAAGCTATTTTTCTGGGTAGTCAGTGCATAACTAGAATTTCTTCTGTTCTCCAAAAGTTACTGATATCTTGTTGGACTGCTCAATGAACACAGCACTGGGTCCCAGCCCTCTCCTCTGGGGTGCCCCATGTATTTGTTCATTTTCACCACCAAATCAATAAATTAATTAATCAGCTAAGCAACTCGGTGTGGAATTGATTAGCCAAACAAAGTGTGCCAATGATGAGTAAAAAAAAAACGTTTGTATTGCATAGTAAGTGCAAATACTGGGGTGACTTTAGGAAAGTTTTTGAAATAGCTATGCTGACACATTTTGACAGACATATCATAAAGATTCTTTAAATATCATTTTCTTTTACTGCCCAAGAGTTCTGCATAGTGCTATATGAGTGCTATATATATATTTTCTCAAAGAATTTCCCCATTGTGGGATTAATAAAGTCTAATCTAATCTAATCTAATCTAATCTAATCTATACAGTATCTCAAGAAGTGAGAGGAGCCACCTTACCTTAGAGCCATGAGACAAAATGACCACAATGCAGCAGTCATATTTCGTATGGTCCTTCTTAGAAAGGGTTAACAATTGCTGCCTTAATTCCTTAAAAAAAGAGAAAACAGTATATGGTATAAATATCTGCATTGAAACTGCATTCCATAAAATGAAACATAATATCATCAAATTATGGGGCGGCGCTGTTGCCTCCCAACACTCAGGGGTTGAGGGTTCGAATCCTGCTTCTGCTGTCTATGAGGACTTTACATGTTCTCCCCGAGTCTTGTGAGTTTCCCCCAGGTACTGCGGTCCAAAGATACGCAGTTAGGCTAAACGACACCTTGAATTTACCCATACAGTTTGCTTGTGTGTCTGTGGATTAGGTTTATATTACACTGTGGGGGACCAAATGTCCCCCACAATTTGATAAAACCTTGTTGTTTTGATGTTGTGGGGACCATTTTTCAGGGTTACGGTTTTCAGGTTTTCTGGGTTACGACCGTCATGTTGGGATTAGAGTTTTCCCCACAAAAATGAATGGGGAGTCCCCACAAAGATATAATAGCAAACCTGTGTGTGTGTCTAAATGTGCCCTGTGATGGACTGTAATCTCAAGGAGGGTGTATCCTGGTCTTGTGCCCCATACTGCCTGGTATAGATCCCAGAGCCCCCATGCTTAGATGATGGATGGATTAATGGATGGAACACTAAACAATAAATGGGAATTTTAAATGTATTTTTTGCTGCAGTACTGTATCTCACACAAAATCCAACTAGCATTAGTAGTGAATTTTCAGGAACTAAAATAAGCAAATGTGTGAGGTAAATGGGGTAGTGTGGTGGTGCAGTGGTTGGCACTGTTGCCTCACACCTCTGGAATTAGGGCTCGAGTGTGAGTGAATGGTGTATGAGTGTGCCCTACGATGGGTTGGTGCCCCATTCTGGGTTGTTCCCTGCCTTGTGCCCGTAGCCTACAGGATAGGCTCTGGACCCCTGTGACCCTAAATAGAACAAGGGGTTACATAAAATGGATGGATGTGGTAAATGATGGGTAAATATGCCAATGGCAGAACAACTAACCTTATCCGTCAGGTCAGACTGAACATCAACGATGAAGTTGAAGGACTTGAATCGCTTTTCAAGCTTTTTGCAATCGATTTTGGATCCAATGCGTCTATTCAGGCAACTCTCAGGTAAATACTTCTCATTATTTATGATCAAGCAGAGTCCGCAAGGATTTGCATCCATCTTGTATTTCTGAAGGTTGGGAAAATAACACTGCATTTAGGGCATGTTTTAGACCTCAGGTACGAACAGCATCCCCTTCACCTGCGTAAGGTTTAATTGTGTCATTCAAAATCCTTGTGTGATAGGTAAATTCTGTTTAGATATTTGAATTTAGCACATGCAATACTGTAACATTCACCTATTTTAATTTGTGAAACAAAAAGAAAGGTCAAATTTGACCAGTGTTATTGGTATCAGTCAAAATTTCCACATTGCCAGTACACCACTGGTTTAGCCTGGGTTAAAGGGGCCAGTCGGGTCCTTTATATTTGTTTTATTCTATACAGCTCAGTACTTGACCATTTTGACAATTTATACTGGGTTGTTCTTCTTGTTTAATAATAACAACAAAAATAAATGTTTTGAGATATTTGTATGTCCATTTATTTTCTTATTTCTGTTTTATCTTTTATATCATCAGTGGGAAGAACACTGATTCATTGTACATGTACAATGACATGAAAGATATTCTATTCTGTTTCTATTCTATGCAATTCTCATTATCATATTTGTGAAGTTAAAGGTTCAAAATTTATGTTATCAAAATAATCAAACAATCAGTTAAATTAATTGAATCACCTTGGGTCCAACTATCTACAAGCCTTCTTATTTTTAATATTAATGAAGACATATCCAATTGTGAGTATGGCATTGGGATTAAACCAGCAGAATCACAATATCAAACCTTGGGAAGTTGAGATAGTAGATGAAAGCAGATACAGTTTAAAGACTATGTAATTACCGGAAGTATGTCCTGGTTTATACTGATTAGCTTGGAGTCTTCAGAATCTGAAAAAAATCATACTGTTAGTTAATTAGCTTTTGTGAAGAATGACTAGTATTCATTTTATAACACTTTATTATTATTACAGGCAGTCTCTGGGTTAAGATCCCCCGATTTATGGGCAACTTATGAACGGACTGCCATAAAGCCTATTACATAAAAAATTCAGGATAAATACAATGGCTTGTAAAAACAAACGCCCACGTAGCGTAAATGTGATGTTCATGTTCATAACCTGGGCACTGCCTGTAGTTCATCATACCCTGAGTTCAAATCCAGCTAAATGCTTTTGGAATTTGTAGGTGCTGGTTCCTTCCAATGTCTCTTCCTTGTAGGGAGTTTTTCCCTTTCCACTGTTGGCTCTGGCTAGTCCTTAAGCAGTTAGGTCTAAACGACACCTTGAAATTACCCATACAGCTCTGGGGCCCTTGGGCAGGGATAATACAGTATAAAGTGCTTTGAGGAAATGCAATTTTGTGAAAATGCTCTGTACAAGTAAAGCTGAATTGAATTAATTCAACTTTCTTGTATGGGAGTGTTTCTGTCTCAACTGAAACGAGCCTCATTCCAGCGTTGTGCGGTTTCTGTTTATTAAAGCCAAAATATTTAAACCCTTTTGTCCTTTGTCACTCTCTGTGACAGTCTTAATAACCAAGTTAAAGAGTATTGTTCTTGTGATCGCAGGGTGCCATATTTACATATGCACTTTAAAACATAATGATAAATGAACATTCACTCTGACCAGGACTGACACTCATCATGGGTGGGACCGTCATCACTTCCCCATCACCTCTGTCGTGATTTCCGGTTTTGCTGGGCATGTCTATCAAACAAAGATTGCATAAAAAGTAAAAATCAAACCAATAATTCATGTACTGACCATTATGATGCATTATAAAGGTATCTATACTGCATTATAGATGACAGCTTCATAGAGCATTCATAATGCATAATGAACATGGCTATAATTTATGCCTTTTTATAAATAATTATAGCTGTATTTAAATTTTATGAATGTATTATAATGCATTATTTTGGTATCTATAATGCATTATGATGACTGCTTTAAGCAAAGTGTTACCAAATTCTCTCCTACAGTATTGACTACAGCAATATTGTGAAACGGTTCTTCTAAAATGGACATCCATTACAATCGTCTAGACACCCCCATACTTGACTAGAATCAGCTCTGGGAAAATGACGGTCAGCACCAAATAAAAACAGTATATATAAAAGAAAAGGCCAGCAAGCCCTGCACTCACAAACTGGTGGGGGAGTAGTAACAGGCGGGGAATCCAGGGATGATGGGAACACACTTTTTCCACGAGTCTGAGACAGCAAATGGATGAGACAACATAATAAAGCGATTTATGGCAGCAAGTTAAATATATTCATTTTTCACATTAAACATTTAAATAAACTCAAATTTATATCTATTTCTAATGTGATATGTATTTTGTAAACAATCAAATCAATAAAGTAATGATTTTTGTTATAGAATCAATACATTTGCAACATTTTTACTGAATTACAGTAAGCCTGTGTCCCAAGACTTTCAGTCCAGTGGTCTAGAATAAACACATATGTATTACGATTTGTTTTCTATAATAAGTCAGTCATGCTGTGTAGATTTTTACTGTTGCTCTTGATGATGTATGAATAGTTTAAATGTGATTTATTTAGGGGAATAACAGGATTACCATAATCCACAAAACAGTAAGATAACAGCACATACCAATGATGTCAAAACCTCATGGACAGCATTGATGACCTCATATTCCAGTGGCTCCAGCAATCTTTCAGTCTCTTGCATGCAAACTATGTCCAAGACAGAACACAATTTCATTCATGAACAAAATGAAGACACTAAAATTCTCAGACACAATAACTGAATGATTGTTAGACTGACAAATTAACAGAATGGAAGAATGACACCTCCAATCCCTTACCAGAGATACTGGGCCTTTCCTGAGGGTCTCCATCCCAGCATCTCTTTATGAGGTGCAGTACATCCTCAAGTCCCTTTGCCTCACTACTGAAAGGCAGTTTATTAAGATCAGGCCGACCTCCTCCAGGAATACAAAGCCTCACCACGGAGGACATAGCGTCTAGATGGGAGGCCATGAGAGAATTATTTAGAGCAGGGTTATTCAACTCACGGTCCTCGAGGTCTGAGCACTGCTGGTTTTCCAGCCTTCCTTTACCTGTCAGTCAGGTGTGAAGCCTCTGACCAATCAGAATCAGAATTATTAAACAACTACCTGGGAGAACTGAAAACACGGCCTGGATTTGGAATCGAGGTCCAGAGTTGAAGAACCCTGATTTAGAGCGTGAATAATGGGGTGGTGTGTGGCTCAGCGGGTTAGGATCACATGATCGGAAAGTTGCCATTTTGAATCCTGAAGCCCGCAGGGTGATAATGCTGTCAAGCCCTTGTGCAAGGCTGTTCACCCCAAAATGTGATCAGATTCGGCACCACAAGCATGTGAATACATCTATATTTCTTTGTGTCTGTGGCTGAGCTGTGCACTCACGGGGATAGGGCTGTTCTCCTTTGATAATGGAACACAGAAGTATAGCATAGCTACAATAAAGACAGAGAGAAAGTGTTAGAGATACAGAAAGCCAGTTTAACTCTCAGTATGAAAACTGAACTGTTGTACATATCATTCTTTGAATTATCTGGTTTAATGTTTTTCTGTCAATTGTTGCTTTACATGCTTGGTTCATAGTAGCAGATCTGTGCTTCTACCCGTCAGTTGTCAGTGTGTAGTTTTATTTTGTCAAATGGTTTGCTATTATCATGAAAGTCACTGACGTAAGTAAGAGTAATATTCTGTTATATCTGGTTGTTGGGCGGTCGTACGAGCTTTAGGGTACCTATAAACATCAGAAGCAGGTTTGGGTTGGTAAGACAAACTGAAGGCTTCTGGGGGCATGTAGCTTGTTGTACCACCTACACTTTTTTTGGAAAGGGAAGTGCTACTGAGAATCCTGGCTAAGCCAAAATCTGTAACCTGCAAAGGGACAGAAATGCAAAAAGGTGAGGTAAGTTAATAATGTCAAACCTAAGTACTCACCTTACTAAGGGTTGTGTTTTCCAGACAGGACATACATTTGGATGCAACTAATTCCTCAGTATAAAATGCAAGCATTTAATAAAGTTAAATAATAATATTATAATTAATAACTTCTGTTCCAAAAGTGCATCTTGACATTGTTCTACTCAGCATTGTTAATAACAAGTTAATGCAGGTTTCTCATTTACATACTCTGTGTAGGACTGTAACATAACATAATATAACATAAAACACAACACAGTGTTATTCATATAATGGCAACAATATTTGTTATAATAAAGAACCCCAGACAATAAAGAACCTACTGATATTCTCAACTACCCGACTGTTGGACTTACCTTGGCGTTGAGGCTGCTATCTAACAATACATTGCTGGGTTTGAGGTCAAGGTGAAGCATTTGTGGGATGAGTCCATGGAGAAAATTCAGGCCAACAGCCACATGATGTGCAAAGCGGAGAACCAGGGGCCACGGTGGAGGTCCATCCAGGTTCTTCAGAAGGGCCTCTAAAGATCCTCTCTCCATGTACTCCATCACCAAGCCTTGCAGTGAGGTAACTGATTTAGTGTCCGGAGGAAAGCCATTGTACTCCCCAATGATTTGGACTACATGAAAACTGCTGGCCTTGCACATCAGAAGCACCTCCTTTTTCAAAGCCGAGCTGGTGAAAAAGCAGAATGTATGCATAGGGGAGGGGTATGACAGAGGCTTGTACAAACACACACGGCTATCATTGTGAAGAAAGAGGCTATGACACTGCAGGAAATTTCTTACATATTTATCAAAAGAACAAAGCTTGTTCATATTTAGCAAAATACAAATAAGTAAAATACACAAAGAACTTTCACATGATGAATGAGGTAATGTTTGCAAATTAGGGGTGTACATCACTGGCCCCAAGGTAATTTGATTTGATTGTGATTATTTAGGGAATGATTCAATGTATCAGAAAATTTGAATCAAATTGTGGTAGAAATTAAATCAGTCAATTATTAGATTCTTATGATAGTTTGAATTTAGGTTAACGTCACTGAAACAAATCACAAATATGGCCATGGACATTTAATTACACACTATTAATGTAGTACTTTACAAAGAAAGTAGAATCAAGTTTATCTGGCGAAGTATGTTCACACCAGTGTTAATTTTGACAGCACATTTTGATTTAGTTTTAGTCTTTGATGAAAATGCATTTCAGTTCAGTCATATTTTACTCATCTGATTTTTTTATTTTAGTCTACGAAAATTACACAATATTTAGTCCAGCAAATCTGCAGTACGTGCAGTTACTGAATCTAATTGGTTTAGTTGTTGTGTAATACATCATTCTCACATTTCTTAGAAAATTAAAACTTTCTGTACACACACACACACACACACACACACACACACACGTCAGGTATACCTATCCTTATGGGGACTGCTCATTCACTTCTATGGGAAAAATACTAACAGGAACTATGACAACCTTAACCCCTAACCAGCACTAACCATAACCATAAGTAACCAAACAAGAGTTTTTGCATTTTCTGTTTTTTCATAGTACCGATTTTCCATAAGGGAAAAAAATCCTTACATGTCCCCATAAGGATAGGTATACCCGCCACATACACACAAAAAACAGATTGGACTACCTCTGTCCACTCTACATTTCGAAAGGAAACATATTTAAGGCGGTTATTATGACAGTTAGTTAAATCCATGACCATAAAGACTGTACTAACTGTTGTAAAGGTCCTGGGTATGACATTAAACTGCATCCGGCCCGGCAAATGGTTCTCTAACTTGCAGGGGAGAAAAATTGAGGGCTGGTGGTGGGATTGACATTCCAACCATTGCAAAAACTTAATAAAGCTCCCAAATGGCAGACAGGCCTTTTTTCTGCTCTCCATGGGAGTAACTCTGCTGCAGCCGCCCACATCATAAAGGGGATGAGGGAAGGCGCTTGGGAGCCTTGGGGTCAGCCTCTCGGGGACTGCATCTGGTGTGATGAGGTGCGGCCCACTGCATGGTAGCACTCTGGCCCTAATTTGAGGCAGCCCATCCAGGTAGGCACACGAAATATCTTGTCTGTCCAGCATGATGATCATCTTCCTCTCTTTTTGGAGGAGCTTTGTAAAGAGGTACGCAGACCAGGGAGTGGCCGTATCTCAGTAGGTGGGTATACTTATTATCGGTCTGGTTGCTCCGATGGCTGCATTACTCATGGAGTGGCTGCTGCTGTGCCCAATGTCACTCCATTCAACATATTATGAGACATCGATTAAAGCACTCTCCTGTCCGTTGTTTCAGCATATGGTCTGAGTGATGTCTCAAAGAGGGGGACATGTTAAATTTATTTGCAACTTCACTTGGTGGTTGATGGGTATCCACAAGGTGACACTCCTCTGGTCATGGTTGACTTCAATGCAACCACTGGTACTAACATGGCTGGTTACGAGGATTGTGTCAGCGTCCAGGGGTCTGGCCATTGTGGTGAAAGTGGGTCCTAAAAGGGCAGGGACTGAGGATCTTGGTTCCAGTATCCTGTGCCACATGGTTGCAATTGGTACTCCAGTACTGGTAGTGCTGTGAAGAAGATCGATCACATCCTCCTGGGCAGATGCTGGAAGCTTCCACAGAACTGCAGGGTCTACAGAAGTGCCCAGTTTGTGAATTGTGACCTCAGACTTATTGCTGCTACTCTGAAGATTCAGCTCAACTCCAATAGGCTATCAGCTACTAAGAGAATGAGCCTGGACCTGCCTAGACTCCAAGATCTAGCTGTTTCTAATGTTTAAATAATTTTTTATTATCGTCTTGTTTTCGCCAATTACAAATCTAATAACAATAAAAAAATAATTTTCTGAAATTCTACTTTATTTGAATTGCATTAATAGTGTGTGGAAGCTCCTATTTTGATGTTCCTGAAACCTTAAATTATTAACAGTTTGAATTTCGGTTATCAAAATGATCACATAATGGATTAGTCAAATTAAATCAAGGTAATCCGTGAAAGTAATTACCTGTCACTTTGATGCAACACTTTGACAGCTACATCTTTTCCCCATGTTTTATGTCTGGCCTTATAGACTTGCCCAAATCCGCCTTTGCCAATCATCTTCCATGACTCCAGAACAGAGTCATTAATTAACTTTAATTCCATTCTTCACTGTAGGAAAGAAGGACATAATGTAATACAGCAAAACATTCAAATAAATAAATAGATGAATGAATTAATAATAATTATTATTATTATTGTTATAGGACTCCACAGCACAAAAGTATTAAGGCCTACATTACGTTTCGAATACTTAAACGAGCGACATCGATAACGTTATATTTAGGATATTTCAGCATCTTTTTTTCCTTTGGTAAGTGTGAAAGAAATCGGGGGGAAATCCTTAAAAGGTGTCAGTACTCAAATCTAACCCTGGGTGAGATTGTTAAGAAAGTATACAATAACGTAATAAAAGTATAAACTGTTTTAACGGTAGTATCAGAATGAACTATACTGGCCAAGTATATTTACTCATAAATAGAATATGACTTTTCCCCGTTGATCTCAATGTACGTGCAGAGAACAGACAGAAAAAAAGACTACAAAAAGACATGCATAGCACATGTATACACACACTTCATTGTACATACTGTACTTCGTTGTTTTCATACACACACACACACACACGGTAAAAGCAACGAAGTACAGTATATGTACAGTAAAGACTGCGGTAACACATAACAGAATCTATCGATAGTAGTTGAAAGTAAAAGGAATGGGAACAGTATACAACCCCTTACGAAAATTAACCATGGTTTTACTATGATTAAATAACCATGGTTTACAATGGTTTGCCGTTTTTCATGGTTTTTTGGGTAACTATGGAAACCATGACTATGGTTTTATCATGGTTTCGCTACAGTTAAACCCTAGTGTAATCTTGGTCATAAACCATGGTTTTTGTTTAAACTATGGTAGTACCACAGCTAGCATGAAGTGCTATGGATAAACCATGGTAGTACTATGGATAGTACCAAAGTACCATAGTAAAACTATGGTTACTGCATAAAAACCATAGGAAACCATAGGAAACCTTTTCATAAGGGACATAACCCATAAATCTAGCCAGTATACTGTATACATTTGGTGCTCGGAAGTCCTCGCCTCTTTACCGTAAGCCCATTCCCTGTTTTAGGTCTTCCATTACAACTAAAATGCGACGCTGTCGAAGACAATGTATAAAACGTAGAAAACTCTGAATACCTCTCCCTTGCAAGGAAGCTCCTGGCTCGAAATTAAACTTCACGAAGAAAAGGGTGTAGACCGTACAGCAGTAGCTTCTTTCCCTTTCAGACACAGAGCGGCGACACTCCCATCGGGGCCCCAAAAGGGGCAAGTGTTCTGTCATAAAATCCTACCTATCGAGACGTGCTATCGAGCCTTTCTGCTCATGTGCAGTTCCACCGTTTTGGGATTAGGGTTAGGTTTTAGGGGTGAGGTAAGGATTTTAGGGGGTTTTGGGGGGTTAGGGTAAGAGTTATGGTTAGGGCTATCGATTAGCACTATGGTAGCATTTTTCGACAAGGCAGCATAAATCGACAGAACAGCGGCAGCAAAGTTCAGTTATTGGCAGACACTTTTATTGCGCCATCCTTAAACGCAGGGCGATAAAACCCAGAAAGGAATAAACTTACTCAGACACACATTATGGGAGTCTTTAAGGAGACAAAACTGGATACAGGCAGTAGAGACAGTGCAACGAGTCATACTTTTTTCGGTTCGGCAGCTCATAAAAACTTAAAATCCGAAACAGATCAAAACGAAACGAACGAAGCGGAATACATATGAACCTTTACTTTACAATTACTTCCGCCTACGTTAATTTTTGAAACCGGTGGAACCGCCGGCAGGTTCTCAAAAGGCACCAGCATTGACTCCGTGTTGGTATCATATGAGGCACTGTGACAGTTGTTAGATACACCTGCAAAGCGAAGTGATACATCTGATGTGAAATATTCTGATAACCGCACTCACTGAACGCCTCTTGTCCAATCAGATTTCTTGGTCATAACTAAATGTTAATTCGGGTTAATCAGAATCACTTTAACTGATGGCAGGTGTGTACCCAAAAAGACTGAATGCTGTAATTAAATCAAAAGGTGCTTCAACAAAGTATTAGTTTAAGGGAATGCACACTTATGCAACCAGCTTATTGTACATTTTGTATTTTCATGTTTTTTCCTCTGACAGATTTGAATGTTTTTCAATTGAATTGTGCAGGTTATAGGTCACATTAAAGATGGGAAAAGTTTTGAAATTATTTATCATGGTCTCAAAAACCTGTTATTTTAAGAGGGCTGTGTACAATTTTTATATCCACTGTATATAAACATTGAGAGTTAATATATGGACAGAGTAGTATTAAGGAGTTCTGCTACCATGGGGTGATATAGGAACGGAGCAAAACTATCTTGGAAAGATATGTGGAAAGAAGCTGGAAGACTGAACACTGTCAAACAACAAGAAATTGCAAACATTTTAAGGTAGACAAAGAATATTCATCACACGTGGTCAGAAGTGTTTGATGTTGTGCATGGAATTTCGCCCCAGCCAGGAGGGTGTTGTAGCAGTTAGTAGCATATAAATTTGTCTTGCATGGTCTCAAGAGAAACATGCAGGCCTAAGCCAGTACAGGCATGGTCTGTTTAGGATCACACATGCACATATGACAGGGCTGAGATTGCAGGTTGCCTGAGACAAGGCCTAGCTTGTAACCCAAAACGCCTATACCGTATACTGATGTGTCAGTAACATACATAATATAAATAACTGTTAATTAATTAATACAGATGGTATGAGGTGTGAACCGCCAGGCTGGTATGGCATGTTTGGTGTCAGACTGATGGACAATCACTCCTGATTCGAAATCTGGTCAGTGGTTACTATGAAAGCGTATGTATCAAAAGTTACACCAGCTTAATGAAAATCATCAGTAAAGGGGAATCATTCTGGTCATAAATCCCAAAAGGACTGCCACAGACACCCCTCCGAAAGCCCGCCAAATGGATGGTCAGCCATTGTTTCAGGTGTCGAATTCCTGGTCATCCCAATTCATGAACTTTAGACCATAAGACCTGGCACCTCAGAACAAAGCTGGGGGAGAGCAGGAAGCACATCAGCCCGAAGAGAGAGGTGGAGAACATCAGCCCAGGAGAAGAGAAGCCCACAAGAAGCCATCCTGAAACCTGCCGGTGAAGGCTGCTACCCAACAGAGAACTGCAACCAAGACAAAGCCTTTCACCTTAAAGCTTCACAAGGAGAGATAATCCAAGGGGCTCCACTCCAACAACCGCTCCAAACACCGTGCCATCATCCCATCAGCTCATCAGCTCTGCAACCAACTGCCAAGACAACCACCACCACTCTGCAACCAAGTAAACCAACTTCCTTTCATTCTAACAACCTAAGTTGTTCTGTTAACCTGCTATATGACTTTAGGGTCGTATTTCCACAAACTGTGCTTGCTTTGCAGAACAGTATTTCCCTGTTAAGGTTACTTATTTAAATCTGGTCATTGCATTTCCATAATTACATTATGTTTGTTTCTATTCCGTTATTTTGTGTTTGTTGTTTGTGTTAAGTGTAATATTATTCATAACTACAACTAACATAAGACTATAAGTGCATGTCTTTTATACAACTTCAGCCTCCGTTCATTGGGTGCTCGCAATAGTCCCTGCCTCTGTGCGATCTGTCTATTACGCTCTGAAACCTAAAACTCGCCTGAAATATCGCGAGACTCTCTCATCGGCCGTGAGGGAAGCTTCGCTACCGATCGTTTACATTACCTGGTGATGCAGCTCGCTGGACGAGCCTTCTAACCCAGGTTACTAAGCGATACTGGTAATTAGTGAATCCCATGTGAATCTCACATTAACAGACTCACGGGGATATCGCAATTGAGTTTGGAGGAACCAACCATTTAGCATAACAATTAGTTATTAATCATAATTAAATAATAAATAAAATTTAATTAATTTCAAAACATATTGGTGGAGATATTAAAATTTACCTGAGCTAATAATTCCTACATCTGTTAGCAAGTGAAGTGCGGTGGTATGTTAAAGCACCGTTGACAGCATTTGAGATACCTGTATAGTGTTTCAGCAACATACATGTGGATCTGCTTGAGCCTCTACCCAGCTCTCACAGGTTCATTCACCTCCTGACAGTTGTTGACAGGACAACCTGACGTACCAAAGCTATCCCACTGTCATTGACATCAACAGCAGATGTGGCACAGATGTTCATCAGCACACAGGTTGCTTGCTCTGTTGTCCCATCATTTTGTGGGTCTTGCTGCACCTCGTTGGCTGACCTGATCACATACAACCCTAGCAGGTGCTGGGTGACTTCTTGGCTTTGCCCACTCCCTTGTAGTTCCCTAGTCAACAGTCTTCCAACTTGTCACTGTCATTTGGTTATACGTTTGTGTGATATGATGCTTTCTGTGGGACTCCTCAAGCCTGGGGACAAGTTATTTGTTGTTGACATTGAGAGTAAAATGGGCCGCATTTCTGTGGACTGCCTGAAACCTGCTCGTCTGCATCTGGACTGGCATGCTGTGGTGGTTCGACCCTCTGGTGAGGGATGCTCCCATAAGGCGGATACTGGCCCTGTGATTCCCACGGCTTCCCATTCCCACTCCACAGGTTGTGACCCATTTTGGTTGCATTGTGTAACCCCCAACTTAACCGCATGTATATATGTATGTACACTCACCTAAAGGATTATTAGGAACACCTGTTCAATTTCTCATTAATGCAATTATCTAATCAACCAATCACATGGCAGTTGCTTCAATGCATTTAGGGGTGTGGTCCTGGTCAAGACAATCTCCTGAACTCCAAACTGAATGTCAGAATGGGAAAGAAAGGTGATTTAAGCAATTTTGAGCGTGGCATGGTTGTTGGTGCCAGACGGGCCGGTCTGAATATTTCACAATCTGCTCAGTTACTGGGATTTTCACGCACAATCATTTCTAGGGTTTACAAAGAATGGTGTGCAAAGGGAAAAACATCCAGTATGCGGCAGTCCTGTGGGCGAAAATGCCTTGTTGATGCTAGAGGTCAGAGGAGAATGGGCTGACTGATTCAAGCTGATAGAAGAGCAACTTTGACTGAAATAACCACTCGTTACAACCAAGGTATGCAGCAAAGCATTTGTGAAGCCACAACACGCACAACCTTGAGGCGGATGGGCTACAACAGCAGAAGACCCCACCGGGTACCACTCATCTCCACTACAAACAGGAAAAAGAGGCTACAATTTGCACGAGCTCACCAAAATTGGACAGTTGAAGACTGGAAAAATGTTGCCTGGTCTGATGAGTCTCGATTTCTCTTGAGACATTCAAATGGATTTGGCGTAAACAGAATGAGAACATGGATCCATCATGCCTTGTTACCACTGTGCAGGCTGGTGGTGGTGGTGTAATGGTGTGGGGGATGTTTTCTTGGCACACTTTAGGCCCCTTAGTGCCAATTGGGCATCGTTTAAATGCCACGGCCTACCTGAGCATTGTTTCTGACCATGTCCATCCCTTTATGACCACCATGTACCCATACTCTGATGGCTACTTCCAGCAGGATAATACACCATGTCACAAAGCTCGAATCATTTCAAATTGGTTTCTTGAACATGACAATGAGTTCACTGTACTAAAATGGCCCCCACAGTCACCTGAGCTCAACCCAATAGAGCATCTTTGGGATGTGGTGGAACGGGAGCTTCGTGCCCTGGATGTGCATCCCACAAATCTCCATCAACTGCAAGATGCTATCCTATCAATATGGGCCAACATTTCTAAAGAATGCTTTCAGCACCTTGTTGAATCAATGCCACGTAGAATTAAGGCAGTTCTGAAGGCGAAAAGGGGTCAAACACCGTATTAGTATGGTGTTCCTAATAATCCTTTAGGTGAGTGTATATGTTCTGAAACAGTGTCATGGTGGTGTAGTGGTCAGCACTGTTGCGTCACAGCAAGAAGGTCCTGGGTTCAATCCCTGAGTCACCCAGGGTACCTTTCTGTGTGAAGTTTGCATGTTCTCCCCATGCATGTGTGAGTGCTCTGGTTTCCTCCCACAGTCCAAAGGCATTAGGTCAACTGGCTACTCTAAATTGCCCATAGGTGTGAATGCGAGTGTGTTTGTCTGTGGTGGACTGGTGACCTGCCCAGGGTGTACCCCATCTCTCATCTGATGATGCTGGGATTGGCTTCAGCTTCCCTGTGATGGATAAAGCAGTATAGGTAATGGATGGATGGATATTCTGAAACCAATTCCATGCAAGATAGCTGGGTAAACAAATTCAATTTTAAAATACATTTCATTCACAATCGTGAGGATTCCATTATTGGTCATCAGCTCATATTGCTCATTTCATGGCTTATT